AAATGGTTTAATTTACCTTTTTTACAAAAATTTTAAATGAAATTCAAAAATATCAAATTCAATTTTTTTTTTTATACTGATGGATTTAAATTATAATTTTCTAGGGAAAAAATAATTATTTTATTTAAAATGACATCTAATTTATAATTTTTTTTTTTTTTAATATAATTAAAATTTAAATTAGACATTTCAACATTAAAATTTGATTTCAAAAATAAAATTTCAAATTAGAATATTTTTGGAGTTTAGATTTTAATTTTTTTATTTCAGATATCATTTTTTTGACTGGTTAAAATACATTGGAAAGTCAACCTTTTTTGTGTTAAATGTTTTTCTAATTTTCATTAAAATTTTCATAACTTAATATTAAAAATTTTTATTTGATTTTAAAAATATTCATCATTTCATTTTATGAATGTTCAAACAAATATAAAATGTTCATTTTGAATTACATCAAAAATGAAAATGAATTTAGTTTCCATTGGGCAAAAAAATAACTGAATTTGATATCTTTTTTCCATTCATTTAAAACAGATTTAAGACAAACCTTATTTAAACCATTTTAAAACAATTACAAATTTTCAAATTCATCAAAAAATATGTATAATTTTCCAAAATAAAAAAAAAAATTATTTTTTTTAAAATTAAATTCTTATTGAATTTAATATTTGTACCATTCAAACAATTTTTTTAAATATATATTTTATGAACTAAAAATGAATAAAACAATTGTTTTATGAAGAAAAGAAATAAAAGGATAAATTGAAATAAAAAATTTATTAATGGAAAAAAAAAATAATTTAAACTAATAAACAATTTTTAAAAATAGATAGCAAAAATATAAAGAAGAAATTTTAAATACCTTGATCAAAATAAAGACTAAATTATGTTTTATGTTTTATTAAATCATTATTAAAATTAATGTTTATAAAAAAGAAAAAAAATAATTTTGAATGACAATTGAATTTTTTTTCCAAAAATAAATTCTGAAAGTGATTTCATTTTTTTTTAAATATTTCATTTATTTTAAATGAAAGAGGAAAATCAAATTTTTCATGCAAAAAATTTTTTTTTTCAAATATATAACGAAATAAGTAAAGAATTCAGAATTTTAATAATATGATTCTTTTAATTTATTTAAAAATTAAAAAAAATTTAAATTTTAAAAAAATCAGTAATTTTTTGAGATCTGGAAAACAAAGTCATTAAGAAATTGGGTACAAATCCAAGAAAAAAATTTAAATGATTTTTTAAATGAAAAATTGTTTAATTTTTCAATTTGATATTAGTCTTCAAAATTCCATTCTTCAGAAGTAGATTTTTGAATGTCTGTTGAAAAAGTTTAATTAACATTAAAACATTTCACTACATAATTAAAACACAAGAAACTTTATAATTTTTAATTTTCTGTGTATTCAATATGACAAATAATCTTAAAAGTGGAAGAATGAATGAGATTTATTTTTTAGACTTATTTAAAAATATAAAAATTGATATCCAATATTTTCAAATTTTACCAGGGAAACAGATTGTTTTTTTAATTAATATTCTATTCAAAAATTTATCTTCAGATATTTCCATCAAATTTAAATCTATAAAAATCTATTTTACCTCTTAATAGTTAAACTCATGTCATTCTGAAATATCAAAGAATCTTAATAAAATATTAATGAAAGAAAATTTTTTTTAAATAAATTACAATAATGGTGTTAAAACAAAATAAATTACAAATAAATCTTAAAATGGCAAAATTTTTTATATAAGAATTGCAATTTAAATTAGAAAATTGTTATAAATAAAAAAAATGAAATTATAAATTAAATTTTAATATGTATTTTATATATAAATTTCAGAACTAAAAGATAAATTTGCAGTTAAACTGTCTGGGAAACAAGAAAAATCCAAGACAATTTAGCTTTTAGTAATCCAAAAAAAACTTGGAGAATTCTATTTATTTATTGGAATTTTGACAAATCAACAATAAATTTTTAAATTGTTTTTTTGTTTACCATTTAATTAGCAAAAAAATACATTTTCATTTGAACAGAGAATGGGAATGTATACAGAATCCATATGAATTGTCACTTGCTAAAAATCTGAGCCAAAATATATGAATCATAGACAAGATTTATATTAACAGAACAAAAATATGTAAATTAAATTGACGGTTTTTTATTATTCAACTAAAATTAAATTGATGAAAATTGAAACATTTTCTTAAACTCTTTTAAAATATGAAATTATAATGAAAATACACAATAATATTTGAAAAAGGACATAAAATGTCTCATGAATAGAGCACGCAGTGCAGCAGAATCAAAGACCAGAAATAGAGTAAGAACAGTTTAGGTTCGTTAAAGACAGTAGTCAAGGAACGCGATATTTATGCTTAGAATTATATCAGAAATATCAATACAAATGCAGAAGGACGTGTAGCTCTGTTTTAGATTGATTATGCAAAAGTGTTTGAAAAAGTAAGGTACAACGAACTATTGGAACTGCTAGGTAACCTTGACATATTTGGAAAGGATATTAGAATAATCAAGAACCTTTACTGGAAGCAAACCGCCTGCATGCGAATAGAAAATGAGTTCAGTAGATATACAAAAATAGAAAGTGGTGTAAGACAAAGATGTTTTTTAACCTTATTCAATCTATACCGTGAGGTGACTCTGAGAAAATTAGAAGTCCTACCAGGATTAATTATTGCCGGCCACAATCTTAACATGATATGCTGATGGTGCAGTGTTGATAGACGCTGAAAGGAAAGTATAAGAATTCCTACAGGAAATAGTGAAAGAAAGCTAGAAGAAAGGACTAAACATCAATTGCAAGAAGACAGAATGCATGGTTGCTAACAAAGGGAATAGCACCACATGCAAATTACAAATCGAAGGTACCAAAATCAAACAAGTGCAGCGATTTAAATATCTGGTAAGTGTTTTAACAGAGAACGAGAAATACGACACTGAAATCCGAAAGCACATTGGATTAGCGAATGATGCCTTCCAAAAGCTAAGCATTAAGAAATAGAAAATTTTCTTTGTTTTTTTTTCTGTTTCTTGATGCAAGAGTCCTGAAATGTTACGTAATATCAGTCCTCGCATATGGCAGTGAACGCTGGACAGTCACCTCATAAATGAAGAGGGGACTTGAAGCAACAGAAATGTGGCTCTACGGAAAGATACTGAGAATAACATGAACCGAACATGTGAGAAACGACGAAGTTTTCGAGAAAATGGAAATAAAAAGGACACTTAACATCAGGAAGAGACAGTTGAAAATTTCTAGGACAGATAATGAGGAAAGAGGGCTTGGAAAATTTGATCATAGGACGGATTGAAGGCAAGAGGAACAGAAGAAAACAACGCATAAATTACAGAACAAGTTTAGGAGAGATAACAAAAAAACAATTTATTAAGAATTACAAAGAACAAGAAATTATAGAGAGCCATGATCACCTGCGTCCTGAAGGAATACGGTACATAGAAAGTGTTGAATTTTGTGATTTTTTTTTTCCAATACCGCCAGAATTTTGTACGTGCAAAATATCGAAAACAGGGTGAAGTAATAATTGAGTGGATCAATCAGTTAAGTTCCAGATGTGGTACACGTTTGGATGATAATGTTTCCTAACCGTAACTGGAATTCGAACTCGACTCTTCGATTTCTCATTCCGAGTCGTTATCCATTAGGCCACAACGCACATCCAAAATAAATATATACTGAAATTCTACCTCTGTATCCTGGTAACCAACTGCAAATAGTTTTAACTATTCGTAATTCTGTCTTTGTGCAAATGTTGACTACGTTCTTTTAATCTTTAAGTGATTGATGTACAGGCAATACGTATACAAATTTTACAATTTGTTGCAGCAGTCACCTAAATTGGATTAGTTAGGCTGCTTAGAAATTATTAAAAAAAAAAAGAGGGCAGCAGTGAAGGAAATACACATTTCAACGACGAGGTTGTTTGTATATCTTGTGTTTTACTAAACTTAGTTGAGTATGGCATATGACCAAATAGGGACATGTAGAAAAGAATTTCATGGGTTCCAAGCTTTTGCACACACGATTACTGTTATAGTGAGTTCGACTCTCATTAGGTAATTAATACTTGGAGCTTTATCCCAACTCACTCGAACCTTAGTGAATTGAAGTGTTTTAGGATAAAACATTGCATCCGTATATTGTGGTAACATAATACACTCCATCATAAAGAACTGTTATTTTGTGGTGACAGTCCGATTGTGTGACTGGTTATAGCAAGTGAAAAGAGAGATAAATGAATTGTGTGTGTGTGTGTGTGTGTGTGTGTGTGTGTGTGTATGTATATATATATATATATATATATATATATATATATACACACACACAAAGTGAAGGTTTAGATTTCTCTTTCTCTCTTTTCTTTTTTCTCTTTCACTTATACGCACACACTTCCTCCTCTCTCTCCATTCTTTTCCCTCGCCCCATTCCTCTCTCATAACTAAATAAACTAAACTCCCTACAATTACACTTTCTCTCCCAGTAAATATTTTGTGTTCCTATTTACGACAAAGAATAAGACGAGAGTTGCCATATTTTTCATAAAGTCGTATTTGCATCTTTATTCTCGAAAACCTTTAGAAATATTCAACTACTGTTTACTCCGTTTTTGTTCATAGTCTTTCTCTTGAGCACGCGAAGTTACCCACTGAAAACATTTCCCGATAACCTCTCAACTAGACATCCCATATAATTTCAGACATTTAACTCGTCATCTCTATTTATTCGCCTAAGTAAGTGACACATTTGCAGGCCTTGTGCCAAACTTATGCTTCGTATGTGCCAAAATTTTCAAAAACTCTTGTGACAAAACTACAACGATCCAGTTTTATTTTCTTTCAGGAAATAAACATGTCGTCTGCGAAAATTTCCGAATCGCAGCGAATGGACAATTAATCCATTACATTGCTGAGGAAACTGTCAAAGTGTGGGATTTGCATTTGGAAGAAAATATGACCGTCATCTCCCAAAATGGCTTGCGGATGCTTGACGTGGGAATTGTCAATCAGACAACCATGATCACCACTTCGATAGATGCTAACCTTCGCATTTGGAACTGCGCCCGAAAGTTCCAAGAACCAGAAACCAAAGTCAGTTTTGAACAAATTAGGCACGGATCTGTCCAGTAAGAGTTTTTAAAATGTAAAATTATATTTAATAATATTAGCTAATTTACACTATTTGCATTGTTTGAATTATTGTCCCCATTTTTGTCATATTCACGACGTTTCAGACGATGTAGTCTCCGGCCTTCTTCAGGTCATATACGTTGGAATTTCGAATCACTAGAAGGCCGGAGCGTACAACGATCGAAACGTTGTGGATATGACAATAGAGATGAAGACAACAGTCCTACCAATGTAAATAGTGTAAAAAGTTACAATACCTCATCTCAGAAATATAGACAGATATTAAAGTTAGCTAAGTGCAGTGCAAAGCTCAATTTGATAATATGAGTGCAGGAAGATAATGTAGCTGCATTCTTCCAAGGGGAAAGGTCTGTCTGCTTTAAAAATCAATATGTTCTGTTAATTTGGCGCAGAAATATGTGTGAGACACTGGTTACCATGGTTACTCTGAAATTTACTGAGAGCAGGGAGCCTGATTCTTTTAAAATAAGTCAACAAGGGCTATAGAAAAAATATGACGATATCTTTGCTTGTGGCAGACTGCACAACCCCGATGACTTAAGAATTTTAGTCATCATTCGTTTTTATGGGTAGATACATACTCCACACATAGACCAGACGGCCGAGGAATAGGCGTGTTTTTTTTCTTCTAGTTACGATCTTTAGACCGGTTGCAAAAGCCCAAACTGCCAAAATATTTAACCCATAGCTGGGACGTGGAGTGAGAAGAGATATTTATACCTTTCCCAATGGTATTTGTGCAAAAGTGAACGTTACGAATTCGGTTGGAATTCGAACACCGCTCTCCAGTTCCACTTTGCGAGCCGCCCTTTTACAGGGTGCGGCAGAAATGCCTTTCAAATAATGGTAAAACATTAACTAGATGAAGACAACCATTGTCACTAAGATCTTACCATTATGGTTGAAGTATTTTGGCCATACCCTGTACTATGTGCACATCGAATGAATGTCATAAAATTAAGTTAACCAAATATGGCGCAGGGCAACAATAGCGGAACATTCAGTGAAGATGAAACTCGTCATATTAGTGAATAACTCTGAGACAAGATCGCTCACCTTCGTTGTACAGGATGTTTCAAAAGTTGTACTACCATTGATAACCTTGTAACTTTTATATGTATTTACCAAATAGAATCTTGTTTCTGTATGTGACAATATTTTTTTAAAAAATTATTGGTCGAAGTATGGATGATGTCATGAAAATTTTCCTTAGTTGCTATTTCACATGTGTACGTTTTCTGTCAATTGTCGCGTATTGTAATTAAGAGGCGCTTTTATCGTACTAACCTGGTAACCATCGCAAGTGTGTTCGTGTCTTTAATTGTTCATGCGTCTAACTCTTTTGACAATGATGCCTTCATTGTTTTAATATTTAAGTGACTGAAGTATAGGTAACATGCATAGAAACTTCCCTATTTCGGCGGGGGCTTTGTGTAGATAATTGTTAAATATTTAGTCGGTGGGATCATTGCTAGCGTAAGGAGATCGCTCTTCTCTGAATGTTCTCTTTCCTTTTAAATACTTCTTTTCGTTTTTAATTATTAAGATAGTGGAAGATTTACAAACAATTGTGGTTCCTTTTTATTATTTTTCAGGGACGTGAAGTTTCTACCAAATCCACGCTATCTGCTATTTATGATTGGTTTTGGTCCTTTTTATTGGTATGTTTATGACGTCACCACCTGTGAAATCCTCATGGAATTGCAATTGGTAAGAGAAAAAAAGTTCAAGCATTTTTTTAATCCCCAGTTAATTTTTCATATTGGTTTAATAGGCTTATTCACTCAGCGGAGATTAAATTCATATTCTCCAAGCAAAGTGCATTAGTGCGAAAGTGAAGACCAGCCTGGAATTTGAACTCGACTCACCAATTCCCCTTTCCGTGCAGATATCCATTACACTATCCGTACATTTTGTCATTATCTTTTAACCCTAAAACTGCGGGGAAAGTTTCCTAGAAACTTCTTGGCTTGCGAAATTGAACGAAACGTAAAGTTTGTAAAGTCTTGATAAAAATGTTAACGATAACTTCAATAATACAAAATACTATTAGGATTTCAACACGTGTCAGCGTGTTGAAAAAAATTTTAGTTTACAAAGCTTCTCACCCACCACCCGCCAATACACTGGTGGGAAGAAAAGTTCTTAGGCTGACTACGAAAGAATAATGCTATAGCTGTGAAATTTTGTACGCATTATTTTCATCTCCACTTATTAATAATTGCATTGTTTATTTCTAGGTAAACTGACATCTGACTGTTCAAACATACTTCCAAATTAACTAGTAGTGATTTCTCTTGAAAATGGACAACATTTTGCATCAAGTACCTGCGGAAGAAGAGTTTAACCCCGAAGGACATTCATACTGACATGGTTGCTACACTAGAGGATGACGCTCCAGCTTTATCAACGATGCAAAAGTGGACAGCTAAATTTATGAAGGGAAGGAGTCTTGAAGATGACCCAAGGTCTGAACGTCTTGCAACTGGGAAACATTCATCGTGTTTACCACATGATGATGGATGACAGGTCTTATACTATAAATCAAATAGCCAATGCTATTAGCATATACTGTGAGAGATTTGAGAATATTTGGCACAATGAACTTGACATGACGAAGTTTTCTGCTCTCTGGTTGCTCCATCTTCTGACAACTGATCAAAAGCTGATCACATCAAGATAAAATTCTGACGTTGTTTGAGGCAAATCCAGCTGGTTCCCTTGAATGTTTCCTAATCAACTATGAGTTGGGTTATCACTTTGATCCAATCCATGCAGTGAAAACACCCCTCCTCTCCTGCTCCAAAGAAGGACAAGATAGTTTCATCTGCAAGGAAAGTGTTGGTCTCAGGTTTTTGGAAATGCAAAAGGCATTGTGTGTATTGAGTATCTTCAAAAGGGCAACACCATCAATGGAGAGCATTATGCTAGTTTGCTGAGGCAGTTACAAAAGGCTATCAAGACCAAATGCCCAGGAAAGCTGACGAAAGGGCTTTTGTTTCATCCCGAAGATGCTCCAACACACTTGGTTTCAAGGGCTGCTGTGCGTGATTCTGGTTTTGAACTTGTTGATCACCTTCATTATTCTCCAGATTTGATTATCATCTGCTCTTCAACATGAAAAAAAAACACTTAGCGGGAATCAGTATCGCAGTGATGATGATGACATATCTGCTGTTGGTGACTATTTTGAACAGTCAGATGTCTGTTTACCTGGAAATACGCCAGAAAATGATATAATCTCATGAATCCTAGACTTGCCAATTAGTAATTTCGACTCGAATCTGAATGAATGAGGTCTGTATTGTTGGGAAAAGTTTAAATGATTAATTGATGATAACTCCAGTTTAAGACTTAAATATGACGTCCCACGAAACTATGTAATTTACTAAAATAACGTCGTCAAAGTTTCTTTGGGTTGTTCACAGTAAAAATAGACTAATTGTCTTCGTTCTCTTGGTTGTAAAATCTGATTTTTTTCCAATTGTCTTGTGGCGATCCCAAATCGTTTTTTTTTTTTTTTTTTCATGCAGTACATTCTTTCTGCGTATCAGCTCCATTCTTTACACATATCGGCGTTCCGCAATTGTTATATCGCAATTGTTGACAGTTAACTATCAATAGATCGAGATACTGAGTTTACCTTGCAGATTTAACAGGTATACAAATACGCAAAAGACTACGGTGCTGAAAGATTGCAAAACCTTAGTATACTTTTAAAAAATTACTTGCTTGGAAACCTGGATTTTTTTTCACTTAGAATACTTCTGCAGAATGCGGTTATCTCCCCTTTAACAAGTATAATTTAGTGGTATGCTAAGGATCTCTTGAGAATCACGAAAACAAGCCCTTGTTGAGAATAGTTAATTGTTGCTTGACTTGCCACAGAGAACGTCGTACGCCTGGTGCATTCTTAAAAATGAATGGATGGGTTGTACCGTGCCTCTCTTGGGAAAGTGACAAGTATGAACTTATTATTTGTCCCCTTCACGTACTGCTTGCTTTTTTTCTTTCTTTTTTCATATGTACTTTAATTTTTTCTATCTGGGACAATTTATATGTTTGTACGACGTATGCTTGTGTAGGAATGTTTGTACGACGTATGCTTGTATACGCATGTTTTATATATAAAATGTTTTCATATTTCATTCATTTTTTGGAGTTCATCTCTTTGGGTCATTCTAGTACTTCTTTCTGTCATATATCACGGGTAATACTAATGACTCTGTTGGACTTTGGAGGGTGAAGAAGAGCAAGATATTTGCTTTCTCTTTGAAAGCAGCCCATTATCACGAATAATAGATTGGTGCATCAATAGAAGTGAGAAAATATCTGATGTGTACAAAATTTGTTTCTTTTTAGATCAATGGTAACGCGATGGCATTTCCCTTAAGCAATACACAAATCGCCGCCGTGAGCCAATCTTGCAAACTGAAAATTGTGGACTTGGAAACTTGCTCGATAACCAAGGTGTTCAAAGGAAAAGTGCATCCTACAAGTTGTTTTCTAACAATAAAAAACGGCAAAGGTTTGTAAAAAAAAAATGTCTATTTTATCTTTAAATCATTAGCTTTTCGAAAACTTCATCAATCGATCACGAGAGAAGAAATTGATTCAAAACAATCGTGTATTAAGAATCTATAGTAAATGGTTGTCAGGACAGAGATTAGGAGAGATAATCAACAGTAGTGAAACAAAGTTGAGTATGTCCGTTGGAACGGCCAAAGAAAAGATTGATTTACTTCATAGGTGCAGGTTTTGGAAGACACGTGCGAACGTTATATGTTAGAAAGTTGAAAGAGTTCAGTCAACAGCAGACCGGGGAAATGAACGTACCCCCCATAGAGACGTCATTTTTCCACGTAGTGCTACACCTTGGAGGAAGAGGAAAGAAAATGTATGTCTTTTTATAGACTTAAACAACGCCACCTGACGGACGTCAGACGAAACCAGGTGGGGTAATAAAATTTCCGGTTCCTTTATTAATAGCATTCTGGGAATATGTATTTCTTTTTCTTTATCATTCATTATTATTATATGACTTTATTTTATTCTTATTTCAATTTTCCCACAACAAATTGAGTATTCATGAATCCTACAATTCATACGATACGACCTATATAAATATATTTACAAGGAGTTCTAAAAATCTTCCTTTTTGATCCACTTCAAAAAATCAGAATTTTTTAATATTTAAAATTTCACACTATTTACATTGTTCGGACTATCATCCTCATCTTTGTTGTCATATTTATCACAACGTTTCGGCCGTTGTACGCTCCGGCCTTATTCAGGTTGTTGGAATGTCGAACTGAACCCTTTATTTTGCTCGCTGGGGTAGACTGTTCTAGTTCCACGTGCCATGTCTAATGGATGTCAGTTATCAGTTATCTCCTGTTAATTCCCCGCTCCAAGTTCTCCGCCGCCTTAACCAGGTATTGAACTCACACTCTCTAGGTCCTGTCACTGGGTCTAACTAACGCCTTTATCTACTGTGCCATGTGTCCTTGAAAGGGTTCAGTTCGACTACTTGAAGTGATAAATATGGTAACAAAGATGGGGATGATAGTCCGAACAATGTAAATAGTGTGCATAATACCTTATCTCAGAAATATAGACAGATGTTAAAATTTCACTTTTAAGAATATCATATTATTTTGAAGTACTTCTTGTTTGGTCTGAGAACTTTCAGCACCCTTTCCTTAATATATCCTCGTAGTTGTACATGGGTTAGTAAATTTTGTTTCAGCGCCTGTATCCAGCCAGAACAGATTAAGTGTACTAAGTTCTTGCTCTTCTTGATTGACTGTTCATATAATAAAATTCGTCCCAACTTATTTTGTTGATTTAATTTGAATTGGTTTACAAAAAAAAAATATCCGTTTGTTTCGTCTTCGTAATTCACTCAGCAATTCTCTGAAAACTTTGTTTTTAGAGATTCTGACTACTAGTTGCTGCAGACGGAACTTAAAAGTCTACGATACAGAAGCGGGACAAATAATCAAAACAATGCAGGGTGTCAGTCAAAATATTTCCCATATTTCTGTAAGTAATTTTTAAAAATTTTAATAATACAGTAATTTAATTTCAGAGCACAGAATTTCTTCTTTCTTTTTTTTCTTTTCTCTGACGGCATCAAGATTATATTCCTTCATTCCTTGGTAACTGATTATTTGTTACGAACCTAATACCATAGTATCTACAGTAAGATAACCTGAAGGAGCCCTGTTTTTTAAAACAGTTTTCTTTTTTCTAGATAAGAGAACCCAGTCAGTCTTGTTATTTAACCCATAGCTGGGTGGAGAAACGATGGATCCATACTTTTGACTAATGGTATTTGTGTGAAAATGAGCGTCACGAACCCGGGCGGAATTCGATCTCGATTCGCTGATTTCTCTATGGGACTTGCTAACCGTTACACTACCCACACAAAGTGAAACGATTTATTAACAAATATTAAGTTTTAAAAGCAAAACTTTCTTAGATTTAAATGGTGGTTTCTTTTCAGTGCTCAAAATTCTTTCTTTCAGTATTGTTTGTCAAGAGACCTTGTCACAAGCACGGACAAAATCTTTTATGATAATTTTATATTTATCATTTCTTATATCAATTCTTCTAACTGTCGGAGTGTGTTTGGTCTCGGTGCATAATTATTTGCCTGGAAATTTTTAAGACCTGACATATCAATTTACTTTTATTTCAAACTTGTCTTCTCTTTGTTGATATAGATGTTATTATAGACACAACGTTTCGGCCGAGTACACTCTGGCAATCATCAGGTGTCCATTGTTTGGCTTGATTTAGGATATTTGTTGATAATTGTGCTATTCTGTCCCTGTGATGCCGGTTATTGTTTATTCCTGCTGGACCAGTGTTTCACTACCTGATCCAGGAATTGGACACACGACCACTAGATGATAGTAATCCAATAACTAACTATATCCATTACGACACCCAAAGGACATCAGTAGTGTATTTCTGGAGTCTTTATATTCAATGTCAGTTCGTTTTGACATTTGTTGATCATGGTGGGTTCGTACCACTTTTCATAATTTAGTATTTTATTTCTGACATATCAATGAAAACGTGAAGATAAATGTTGAAAATAAAAACTCCTCTTCATAAAACAGCTGAATAATTTATGACACAATTTTTAGAGCGGTAGACGCTCCCTCTAGTCGAAATAAGCTAGTTTTAGTTGGTTGAACATACTTTATTGCAAAGAGACAATAATTTTGCTGAATGACAAGACCAAACATGTTTGTAGCACATTTATACATCTGAATGTCTTTTTTCAAGTACAATACAACGATGCATATCTTTGTGCAGTGGGTTGAGTCGTATTTCTTCATTGTTTCGTTGTGTGTTTAAGACCAAGGAATAACAAGATAGATTTAAATCTAAAAATATATTTCAGCTGGTACACTGTACAGAAAAAAATATGCATCAAAAGTTTTCGAGGAAAGTATCGTTCTCAAAGTTAGGATGCTTGTCACCGTTGATAGTTGCATAATTAAAAGAAAAAAAACTTGTAGTTCCAATGAATTATTTATTTTATGGAAATATTTCGACTAGCTGTTGCTAGTCTTGGTCACTCCTTAATTTGAGTAAAACAGTGCAAAGAAACTAGAAACGCTTAAGAAATCAAAGAAAAGAAGAAAAACGGTTGATGACGTTTACAAAATAAGAGCAAGTTGAGACGTAGAAAAAAATGTTTTTACTCTACAAATTGCCATTTTTTTTTTCTCATATCATACTTTTCTTTGGAGCAGAGAGGTCCAGACAGGATGGAGTTGTGCTGCATCTATCCTATTGCAGGTATTTTTTGTATTTGCTATCACCATTTGTTCAGCTACTCTTATTTGTTTGAAACACTTTTGGTTCGTCAATTTTATTTCCGGATGATCGAAATATTTCCATAAAATAAATCATTCGCTGTAACTGCGAGGTTTTTCTTTTAAAGTGTCGTTCTGTCCGTTGCGAAGCTTTCGTCGACAACAAAATAGCTGATTTTTTTTATTTCAATATAGCCAAGCTATAGGTCAAATAATAGACTGAACTCTTTAGCCTTGACTAGCAACCAGTCTAGGAGAATGACATTTCTGAATTCAAAATGTGGGGAAGGCAACGGAAAATAACTCGATTATTTTTTTTTCTCAAGTATAATAATAGCAATGCACAATTTACAGATATTATAAAAGGAATCTGTGGAGAGCCATCATCGCCTGTGTCCTTTAAGTACATGGCTTTTAAAGAAATACCAGGAGGTGCATCATTTAGGCTGGAATTCTGAATCTGCATTATACTGGGAGCAGAAGCGAAATAGGTGACCAGTTATACAATAGCGTTTTCTAGATTCTTCCAGTTGCTAAGGACATTTTGTTTTGTTGTTAACAGTTACTTTGTTTTAATAAATTCATTTCGTTTTTGCCTTAAAAAAGTCCACATTGGACGAAACGCGTCGGCTAATAATACAGTTTTCTTATTGTCTTTTACCTTATATATATATATATATATATATATATATATATATATGTTTCACTCCATACAAGGCAGTAAAACCACTAAGAAACAAGTGGTTATTGGGTGTAAAAGAATTAGGAACAGAAACATTAATAATGAGCGAGAAGAGAAAAGAGTAATCAAGAAAGCAGTAGATAGCGATTGACATCGGATTTAACTTTTTGCAGATTAAAAACATGAAGCCGGAAGAGAGTTCCATTAGCGAGAAGCGAAACTGTTAGCATATAATTCACGGTTACATCTATCCAACTCAACTGTAAATTGATGAAATCTTGACGCCAATTAACAGCTCGCCTCAGCTATTAGAGAGATGTGATTAAATATACTTTAATGTTTAAAAAAATATTCAGTATTATTGTTTAGGTAATAAGCATTATAACATAGGAAAAATAGCTATATTGTGGAAAAAAGAAAAGAATTTTCGACAATATATGCATTTTTTTACGTATTTATTGATATTTTTTAATTTATCAAAAATGACGTACTTGTACATGTATTTATGGATAATGTTATACATTAATTACTAATTCCTTAATTAATAACCATTTGTGCTTAGTTGTCGACTTTAATAGCTACCTGCTCATGTGTTAAAATTTTGGAATAATGCAATAATAAAAATCTAAATTTCGTCTCTCTGATAGATGTCGCAATCTTTAAAAAAAAAAGTCTAGGTATCATAATGAAGAGCTCGTCCGAATAACCACCATTTTTATATATATATATATATATAATATATATATATATATATATATAAACTTAACCGCAGTTTTTTTATTTAATTTTTTGGTAAATGTTGGATTTCATTTTAGCTGTTATTTTTCATAAAACAAGGTTTTGGGTTGTTTTTTTTTTTTAATGTTGTAATGTTAATTTTCATATTGGCTTTTGGGTCATGTAATTTAATTTTGTACTTTGTAGAAATCCCTCTTTTATACAAGTTTCATTAAAACCTATGTACACAAACACACACACACACACACACACATATATATATATATATATATAAATATATATATATATATATATAATAAAAGCCAAAAGTAGGAAAATATTTATAAATTCAACATTTTTAAATTCCGTTTTGTTTTAAAAATTGAAATGTAAAACCCCGTTATCTTCTTACCCAAAACTTCTGGTGTATCTAAATAAATAGCGAAACATGTTAAATCTATGAGGATTTTCCTACTTGCTCTTTATGTAATCATTCCATTGGTATTATTCCATATCTTATAGTCACGAATAGAGATAGAACTCGAGTGCAACCGGTGAAGATATATATAGTGTGTGTGTGTGTGTGAGAGAGAGAGATTTTAACTGTATTAATCTATCTTTGATAAAGATTTTCTTATTTGTTCCTTATTTAATAATTGTCCGATTTCTTCCATATCTTCAATTTACACTAACGCACACATAACGGTATTTATCTTTACTTTTCTATTGTATTTCTAATTCCAGTTTCTCCTGGTCCTTTCAGAAATCTCTCTTGATCAGCCTAACAACCTCGATTTTCATAGAATATAAACATTAAATTCTCCAATTGAAATCTTTTCTCTGACTTCCCATTCTGATTTATACTTGAGTGGTCATGTGTTCTGCTTCATTTCACTAGTTCTTTGTAACTGAAAAATTAGTTCAGGCTGATAGACTTTGTTTTCTTGTCCTGCATTTAATGCATAATTTCTTCTACTTAATGAGAACCTTTTCCACAAAAGTGCAATTGACAGTGTTTGTGTTTATGCTCTTCTTTGTATTCTGCCATGATTGTTACCAAGTATGTCTGTATAAAAATACAAGTTCATTCATGACACTCTCTATCAGCCGTGGACTAAACAATAATTACTGACTGTAATTATTTAAATGATTCAATTATTTCTATACTTGCACAATTATAAAGTTTAATTAATTTATAAATTTCAGAGATTAACAACAATAACAGAAGAATCATAACAGTATACTGTAAATAAATTAGACTCGTTGACCCTATTACCCTAGCAAGAACATTCTATTCGATACGCCTACACACATAAACTTTAGCCAATGACATTACCAGGCGTGCAATTCTCGATTCGAAATTTCGGCGGCATATCGAGAGCCGGTTTACCAAGGAGCCTGGTCTCCGTGACGACAGGAGTTTCGCATATCAGCTATTTAACTGACTTTCCTCGGTTTTTCGCCGACTTTGACTAAAGCGGCTAGCTGCGAGGGAGAGATCACAGAGGGCGAAGTCTACAGGGCATTGAAGAAGGTCGGCAGAGGCAAGTCTTCCGGTCTGGATGGTTTGCCCTATGAATTGTACTTGAGGCTGTCGCACATCTTTGTCCCAATTTTGACTGCGGTGTTTAACAACTTGTTTCTGTCGGGGCCCATCCCCAACTGGATTTCCAGGGGGTGATCACTCTGTTGAAAAAAAGGGCAAGGGTGGTGGGGGGAAACTAGATGATTACAGGCTCATAACTCTGCTAAACACAGAGTTAAAGGTTTTGGCCAAGATCCTTCAGGAGCGTTTGCAGTCAGTTGCCAAG